GCGTGGGAATTCTAAGCGTAGGAATCTAATGCATGGTAATCTAACGCGTAGTAATACAGCTTGTGGATATCTAACGCGTAGTAATCCAGCGCGTGGATATTCAACGCGTGTTAGTGCAACGCATAGTTATGCAGCGCGTGGGAATTCTAAGCGTAGGAATCTAATGCATGGTAATCTAACGCGTAGTAATCCAGCGTGTGGATATCTAACGCGTAGTAATCCAGCGCGTGGATATTCAACGCGTCTAAGTCCAACGCGTAGTAACGCAACGCGTGGTAATTCTAAGCGTAGGAATCTAACGTGTGGTAATCTATCGCATAGTTAACCAACGCGCAGTAATCCAACGCGTCATACTACATCTTTTAAGTTATAAACATGAATTCTTACATCTAATATTACGTTTAGTTCATTGTTTTTATTGTTTAAAGCTGACATAAATAATATTTCTTCATATATATATTTTTTTTAGAAGAATAGATGTTGTTTAAAATATCAAGTAAACGACAGTTTAATTTAGTTAATTTTGCTCATTGAGAAATCGATTTTAATTATGAATTAACTTTCATTTGTATTTCCTTGTAAATTCAATAATTCAAGCACCACTGGTCACCGTGAAATTCCTGTGAGAAGAAAAGCTCCTCGAATATCGATTAATCTCTCGGTTTTGTTTAAAAATATTGTTTGTAGTGTTTGAAAATTCCGCAGAAGCTGACCGAGCAAAATTAACGTTTATAGAAACATACAGAACCGATTTAAACAGAAATACGTGAAATTGTTTGAACACGACGTGTCTGTTATTTTTACCTCGGAAAATTGGTAACGATTAATTATAGACGCGTAATTAATATAATTCGATGAATCATAATTTTAATATCTTCGAAGAAAGGTTTCCAATTACCGTATATTAAATACCGCGAAATAAACTGACATCGGTAAATACAGAAAAGTGATTGGGTAAATCCATTATTCATGAAAATAATTAAATGACGGACGAAAGAACGATTAAATAATTAAAATATACGAACAATCGATAACTGTAAGCTTGAATGATTTATACGTTTGTTTTAATTATCGAGAAGTTTAATTTTGTTGTAGAATATTGATTAATATATTTTATAACGTTGGTAAATATCAGAAATTTGTTTATAATCGATGTTATTCGGAAATAAATTAATCAACAGACGAAAGTAAATAATTTAATAACTGAAATATTCGAACGAGTGAACTGTAATTCTCAGCCATAATCGAATATTTATTATACTTTTATTTTAAACATTTTTAAATATTTACAAACTCCTAAATCTTTGCGAGTTTTTTTGTTGTGTGATATTTTAGAATATAAGCTAATTAATATGTCTTTTAATAATATTAATAATAATATGTCTTTTAATAGCACTAAATATAAGAAGCTTCCGATTAATATTATTCCGAATTTATTTATTTTTAGACTGACACAATTAAAAATAACTAACGGGATGAATAAACTTTTGAACGGCCAGATTTTTTACTGAAACTTTTGTTTCGTATATTGCACGTTGATATAATGTTAAAAAACAGCTTAGAAAGTTAGCAACTTACAAAGCAGCTATAAATAAACTCAGATTTGTTCCGCTACTCACCCTATTTCTCTGTTCACACTCATACCGATTGAGAAATTTTTATTTAACGCGGTAAGCTTGTTTCTTATTGAAAAACCTTTCAGTCGAATTTTATACAATTACTGTTTGTAAGAACTGGCTATACAATTTTCAATTTACTTTAAATTCAATTCTTATTTGCATGCAAAGATTTCAGTAATGCATTTTGTACGCTCCAGTAAAATTATTTTAATTAATAAGGAAGTTTCACTTTTGTGAGGGGTTTCTGAATGGTATTGTAATTTTTTAATTTTTGGCTTTTAATTTGGTGGACATAGTGTGCTTAATTTGGTTATGAATTTTAATTGGGGTTTGATTTGGTAATTTTTTTATTTTAAGGGGTGTCATGGTCGAATAGGAAGATGAAATAGAATTTTGGGAATTGTGGAAATTTTGGCGTGAATTTTGGGAATTTTGGAAATTAGGAGATTTTAGGAATTCTGAGAATTTTTTAGATTTTGGGAATTCTGGGAATTTTCGGGATTTTGGGAATTTTTGAAATTTTAGGAATTTTGGAAAATTTGGGAATTTGGGAATTTAGGAATTGGGGGATTTGGGAATATAGGAATTTGGGAATTTGCGAGTTGCGGAATTGGGAAATTAGGGAATTGTGGAATTGGAAAATTGAGAAATTGGAGAATTGTGGAATTGAAGAAATAAGAAATTGGGAAATGGAGAATGGAAAAATGATGGAACTGGAAAATTATGGAATTGAAAAATTAAGAAATTGGGGAGTTGGGGAATTGGAAAATTGAGAAATTGGGGAATTATGAAATTGGAAAATGGTGGAATTGGGGAACTATGAAATTGGAAAATGTTGGAATTGGGGAATTATGGAATTGGAAAATGGTGGAATTGGGGAATTATGGAATTGCAAAATTGAGAAATTAGAGAATTTTGAGAAGTTAGGACATTATGAAATTATAGAATTAAGGGATTTAATATTTTAAGAAATTAGGAATTTGAGAAATTTGGAATTTTGAAATTCAGGAAATTAGAAATTTATAAAATTATGAACTGGTAAATTTGTGAATTTCTGAATTGGTAAGAATTGTTGAATTATTGAGTTAGTGAATTAATAAATAAATGAATAGATGAGTTAATGAACCTACTAATTTAAAAATTTGTAAATTTAGATATTTAACAATTCCCCAATCTAACAATTCAAACTCCAAAACTTTCCCAAAACCATAAAACTTGAAAATTCACTTATTCCACAAGAATTCATCTCATCTTCGATCCCCACATACCGCAGCGTATCGAACGGAAATCAAACTTAGCAGCTGTGAAAATAAATTTGAACAACCGGCACGATCATTGATCCTCCAAAAAGGAAACTCTGTGTAAACTTCCGTTTTCTAGAGTATGATTTATTGCCCGACTGCAGATTCCAAAAATATCCACTGAATTATGGCAGAAAATTCGACGAGGTGAAGCGTCGCTTAACTCGTATGAAAGCGTATTCGGTAATAAAAATAACCATCTAAGAAACATTCGAAATTAGGTCATTCGAGAGAAATAGCGAGAAAGATAATACTCTTTCTTTCTGTTTTCTATTGTCAATTTATTCATGATGGTGCACTTCAAAGGTCCATTAAAAATCATGACTCTTAGCTGTTGTGACAGTCTGACATTTTTCTCGGATGTTCTATTCTAACCTAATTTAACCTCACCGCCATTTCACTGTTTGCACGAAATGTCAAAATGTTATGGAAGACAATATCTGTACAAATATTTATTTCGGGAGTCGGTGTCAAGTTTAGAGAATAAAAATAGTTTTGTTATTTTAAGAGTCATTTATTGTTGTGATATTTGTAAAGTGAAAGAGTCAACATTTTAGTAATGCATTTGGGTTCAATTTTTAAAATAAAAATACTTTTAACTTCTTGTGTTTCAAGCCTGGTACTAATACACAAAATAAAAATATTTTTAACATTTTGTGTTTCAAGCTTGGTACTAATACACAAAATAAAAATACTGTCAACATTTTTATATTAATTAGTAAAATACAAATACTTATAATATTTTAACACTACGTTTAATACTAATATGTACAATAACTTTTAATATGTTGATAACAATTTTGGCGTTAATTTGTAAAATAAAAATACTATCAACATTTTAATACCTTGTTTGTTACTAATTTATAGAATAAAAGTACTTAAAATATTTAGAAAATAATTCAACGTTTTAGTAACATACACTTGCTTATTTTTAATCAATACTTGTAGAAACAAAAATTGCGAATATAATTCCCACAAAGATCAATAAATCCTATAAACTTCACGTATATATTACAGCTTTGAAACTAGTGAGGTGAAGATTTAAATCTCCCATATTTTCACGTTGACTACAAATACTTCAATTCGAGGCAAATCCCATATACCAAACGCAGTGATCGATTTCGAGTACAATCGCAAAAATACAATACATAGTTTCATGTGTAAGCTGACGTATCATAAAAACGAGAATAAATCGATTTTGGAATATTAATATACTGACACATAGTATATTGTCATAAGTTTCGGTATTAATGAATTATATTTACAATTCGATTCCTTTCACAAATGACAGCAATCAGGACTCGAAATTTTCTTGAGTTTCTAGCTCTTGAAAATTTTGAGACATCGCCATTAAAAAACAGTCGAAATCGGCGTTATCTAAAAAATTGTTAAAAGTTCCAATAATTGTAAGGGTGATTCAATGCCTTTTATTTTTGTTGAATTCCCAGGTTTTGAAGTTCCGAGACACTCCTATCAAAAAGCAATCGAAATCAGCGTAATCTAAAAAATTGTTAAAAGTTCCAACTATTGCGAGAACAATTCACTTGCTTCCACAGATCGCAGCAATCGTGACTCAAAATTTTGTTGAATTTCCAGGTTTTGAGGTTCCGAGACATTCCTATCAAAAAGCAATAAAAATCAACGTTATCTAAAAAATCGCTAACAATCCCAATAATTGCAAGAACAATTCAATTGCTTCCACAAATCGCAGCAATCTTGACTCAAAATTTTATCGAATTTCTAGGACTTGAAGTTCTGAGACACCCCCATTAAAAAGCAATTGAAATCAGCGTTATCTAAAAAATTATTAACAGTCCCAATAATTGCAAGACTAATTCCTTCCACAAATCGCAGCAATCGCAACTTCTCTCGTCTCGAGACCCCAAAAAACGATAAAAATCAGCGTGATCTAAACAACCCCTTCAACTTCCAACAATCGCCTCAATTCGCTTCCTTCCTCACACGTCGATTATTCGAACCCGAACAGAGGCATTTCCGAAACTCGCGTCTCGCAATAAAACCCTTTTCACCGAGCCGTCGCGATAACCGATGAATAACAGAGAGGTCGTACTAATTACAGAATGCGACAAGAGGGTGGTAGTGAAACGAGAGGCCGGCGGGGAGTTCGGTTTCCGCATTCACGGCTCGAAACCGGTGGTGGTTTCCGCCATCGAACCCGACACGCCGGCGGAGAGCTCGGGCCTCGAAGTCGGCGACATCATAATGTCGGTGAACGGAAAAAGCGTTATGGACGCGACCCATTCGGAAGTCGTCAGGCTGGCACATTCTGGCACCGACGTCCTTGAACTCGAAGTAGCGAGGACCTGCAACGTGCTGGCACCGAGGGTCGCCAGGCCCGGCACCAAAGATGGCACCGAGGAGGCGCCGCTTTGTTCTGGATACCTTTGGAGGAAATCTGCTACGTCCAATAACACCGACAAGTGGGTTCGGAGATGGTTTGCTCTACGACGCGATAACTGCCTCTACTACTACAAGACTGATGCGGTTAGTGATACTCTTTGGTACTCTGACATTTTACTGTTTCATATGATTTATGATACACTTTGTATACATGTAATATAGTTGTCTACATGTAAATAAGTTCAGAAGCAAGGATACGTCTGACCTTTGAGAGTATATTGTGAGGAATTAGGATCTACGGGACCTGGTTTGTGCACGTAGAAATTTGCAGACCTGGGAATTTATGGATGTAGACATTTGCTGACCTGGGATGTAGTTTGCAGACTTCAGAATTTGCGGACGTAGAAATTTGTAGACCTAGATATTTATAGATGTGGAAACATGTCTGGGGATTTGGTTAGCATTTGCTTAGCAATTTTGGAACCTGAAAACTGAAATATTTGCAGCTTCATTTGAGGATCTGCAAATGAAACAACTTAGGGATGAAGGAATTTAGATACTGGGGATTTAGATTCATGAGTTTAGAAATTTGTAATCATTACCGTAAACTATTTAATACTCGGAGCGTCCATAAAGAAAGGAAATTTTGAAAAATGCTGTAGTGCTGCATAAGTTAAAGTCGAACGCGGTAAGTTTGAGGCAGTCGTTAATCAGAAAGAAAAAAGTCAGCCAACGCCTGGGGTTCCGGCACAAGCCATTTAACTGCCATCCTTCCTCGCGAATTGCATCCATCGAGATGACAAGTGTTTACACGAGATCGTTTATTCGAGAAACGGTTCTGTAGGATTCACAGCCGGTGGGGGCAGTAATGCTGATAAAGTACGACGTGGAGCAAACACCGGAGCTGAGGTTACACAGTTTCGCGATAAAGAAACAGGGTGCACCGACACTTCGACTCGCGGCCGACTCCGAGGAAGCTGCTGCCCGATGGACGACAGTCATCAAGGAAGCCATTGAGAGAAACGACCAGGTAAATGTTGCGAGCAACTGGAAACTTAACCAGAGCCAGTTCTTGAGATCTACTTGGAACTCGCGAGAATTGTACAGGATGATTCATAAACATTGGTTGTTTGAATTGGTCATTTTGTGGTTCTCATCCGTTTTGGATGAGAATTGTTAGGGATGTTAAAATTGTTAGGGAATTTGCAAGATCTATAGAGGATGATTCATAAATATAGGTCCTTTGAAACTGTGGTTCTCATTCTTTTTGCAAGTATGCATATGGATGTTAAAATTGTTGGGGAACTTGCGAGAACTATAGAGGATGATTCATAAATATAGGTCCTTTGAAACTGTGGTTCTTATCCTTTTTGCAAGTATGCATATCGGTGTTAAAATTGTTGAGGAACTTGCGAGAACTATAGAGGATGATTCATAAATATTGGTTCTTTGAAACTGTGGTTCTCATCTAATACTCATCTAATACTAATACTTTTGCAAGTATGCATATCAATGTTAAAATTGTTAGGGAGCTTGTGAGAATTATACAGGGTGATTCATAAATATAGGTCCTTTGAAACTGTGGTTCTCATCCTTTTTGCAAGTATGCATATCAATGTTAAAATTGTTAGGGAACTTGTGAGAGTTATACAGAATGATTCACAAATATACTTCTTCTGAAACAGTGGTTCCTATTCTTCTCACAAGTATAACTACTGAAATAAAAATTACTATAGTCCTCATTATTATATAAGATATTTATAGAAATTATTATACAAGAACAGTGGTTCCCAGCCTTTTCAACAGTACACTATCAATAACAAAATTGTTAGAGAACATGCAATAACAGTACATACAGGTCGATTCACAAACATAGTTCTCCTGAATAATAATTCTCAACATTGTCACAAATTAGTACCACCAAAATCAATTGCTATTTGTACTTATTTTATGTAAAATTAATGCAATTACATTCATCTAATATGCAATTAAGATACTTCATTATATTTAAAATAATTCTTATACCTAACTTTTATTTTAACTCGAGTTCTCTCAACATTAAAAATAAAATATATCATACTTCTTCGTCAACGTAAAAAATAACGTATGTCAATATTAATCGATAAAATTATATTATAAATATACTACAAACTATAAATTGCATAAAAATAGTACTACAGGTACACTAGTGTCCTTACGCTACAGTAAGGAACAAAGATTCGTTATTTTAATCTGTACAGCTTTACTGTAATATACTAAAGCATACTTGAGAGATATCCAGAGTTCATGATCCACTCTGTAACTGGAACTGTTCTAGCTATACCACTTACATAGAACAAGTTTCTAGAATTTAACGAAACGACGAAAGTTTCAGTGAGAAAATAGGGTTTGTTTTAAACTCCTAAGTTTACCGATCTCGTTGCCAGAGTTGTTAGAATAACTAGATTAAAGTTTGGATATATCACGTTGTTGCATATCAAATGGCAAATTTCGGGACATAGGAAATCTGACGTGACTCGATAACATCAAGTACTGTGCAATGTCACGTACGTATCAGCTTGATGTACAAGATTTTCACGGTTCAAGGTCTGTTAATATTTCTATGAAAAGTGGAGCAACATTTCGTTGAAATAAACTGAACATTTACGCCAACTTACAGGTGCATTAATATGGCTTGTTATTATTTTATATTAGAATGATGTTTTATACAAAATTCTTTATGTGACTGTAAAGACTCATATTTAGGATTAAATATTCAAATCGTATTCGTATTTTGTTTATTTTTAAATAATATAAGGAAATGGAGAATTTGGTAGTGGAGATTTATACATGCAGATTCTGTAAAATATTGGTTAGAGATATAGGTTACGTTAGGTTAGGAGAAATTTATTGATGGAGTGGACATTGAATGAAGACTTCTGCATGCAACTATCACTAGTGGTTATATTTATTTAATTCAAGTTTATTAATCATGAATTACATTTAATTAACCTATCATTGTTAACATTTATTATATTTAATTAATACGTCATTGTTAACATTTATTGTATTTAATTAATACGTCATTGTTAACCATCGTTAACCATTGTTAACTATTATATTTAAGTAACCCATCATTGTTAACCATTTATTATATTTAATTAACTCAGCATTCTTAACTATCTGTTATATTAAATTCACCCTTCATTTTGAACCATTTTAGCAACGTCTATATTAAATCAATTCATTAGACATATTTAATAAATCCACTGTTCTTAATCATTTATTATATTCAACTAACTCAACATTCTTACCTATCTGTTATATCTAATTGATCCACCATTTTGAATCAGTAGCTACGTCTATATTAAATCAATTTATTAGACATATTTAATAAATCCACTGTTCTTAACCATTTATTATATTCAACTAACTCAACATTCTTACCTATCTGTTATATCTAATTGATCCACCATTTTGAACCATTCGCTACGTCTATATTAAATCAATTTATTAGACGTATTTAATAAATCCACTGTTCTTAACCATTTATTATATTCAACTAACTCAGCATTCCTAACTATCTCTTATATCTAATTGATCCACCATTTTGAATCAGTAGCTACGTCTATATTAAATCAATTTATTAGATACATTTAATAAATTCACTGTTCTTAACCATTGATTATGTTCAATCCATCTAATCATTAATTAGACCAATTTTAACCATTATGTTAACTTAATCCATCATAGTGACCCACTTATATTTATTTAACCAAGCAACAAACACATGTTAAGGTGGACACGTGGCTAGAGGCGTCAATGAGGATGCGTGAAATGGCAGCGTGCGCCATTCAACGACCCGACTGTTTCGGTTATTTAAGCAAACAACAAGAACACGCAAGGAAGACATCATCGCCGACAGGTTGGTCCAGAAGATATTGCGTTCTGAAGGACGCCGCATTATATTTCTACGACGACGCCAACGCGGAGAAGGCGTTCGGTGTCGCCTGCCTTCATGGCTTCAGGGTGCACAGCAGCGCGCCCACTTCCGGTGGCCGGAAACACGCGTTCGAACTGCAACCACCGGATCCCACGCAGAGAAGTTATATCTTCGCTACGGAGTCCGAAATGGACAAGAAACGGTGAGGTTAATGGACTTTAATCCTACTTTCAAACTAAACTTTTAGTTCGATGAAGTAAATTTAGTGACCATTTTGTTGAAAATGGAGGTCTTCGGTAGATAATTTCTTAAATAAATAATAGATAATCTGCAATGAATAATAGCTTGATTTAAAGAAAAATTGTAATCATCCTCATATTCATGATCATACTCATGATCAATTTATGGACATTTTCAGTAAATAATATCTTAAATAAATAATAGATAACCTGCAATGAATAACTTGATCTAAAGAAGAATACTTGTAATCATACTCATATTCATGATCATACTCACGATCAATTTATGGACATTTTCAGTAAATAATTTCTTAAATAAATAATAGATAATCTGCAACAAATAACTTGGTCTAAAGAAGAATACTTGTAATCATACTCATATTCATGATCATACTCACGATCAATTTATGGACATTTTCAGTAAATAATTTCTTAAATAAATAATAGATAATCTGCAATGAATATCTTGACCTAAAGAAAAATACTCGTAATCATACTCATATTCATGATCATACTCATGATCATACCCATAACCAATTTATAATATTTTTGCTAAAGTGTTTTCGTAAAAATGATCAAACTAGTCCTCATCAATGGTTTGAAGACTATCTTTGATTTAAAATATAATTTTACATAAATGAACAAGAAGTGACTGTATTATTATTTGCATTAAACACTGTCAGTTTTTAGTGGTGCTGAAATAAATTATACTTTGAAAATAATTTTTAATATAACTTGTGCAACTTTCAAACTGAACTTTCAACTTATTTCGATGAAGTAAATGTAGTGACCATTTTGCTGAAAATAGACATCTTCAGTAAATAATAAATATCTTAACTAATAATAGATAATCTGCAATGAATAACTTGATTTGAAGAAAAGTTTATACTTGTGATCAATTTATAATATTTTTGCTAAAATGTTGTCGTAAAAAGTACCAAACTAGTCCTCATCAATAGGCTAAAGAATTTTTGATTTGAAATATAATTTTACATAAATGAACATGAAGTGTATCTAAATTAATCTTAATATCTTAACATCTTAATACCTTAATATCTGTATTAAACATCGTCGGTTTGTAGTGGTTCTGAAATGAGTTATAGTAAAAAAATAATTTTGTGCAACGTGTAATTTGCAGATGGCTGGCAGCCCTGGAGTACTCGATCGATCGATGGATAAAGATTGGTTGACAAAGGCCGACCTACCGTACAAAGAAGCAAAGAAGTCGAAGCAGCGAAGATCCTCTAAGGTGTCCTTCGTCTCTTCATGTTTCCGGTTCCTAACGAACATTGTTGCAAATCACAAACTCATCGATCACCGTCGTCATTGTCGCTTCGATTGTCGTTCGCAAATGCATCACGTGGATCATGTCGCAAATGCTCTTCAAATTCGCAGTTCTTCGCAACTCTTCGTCGTCTCGATAGCATCCATGGTAATTTTTGTTCACGAAATTTCGTAAGAATTTCTTTGTAATTATCGAGTGCCAAATATCTGCCAAGATTAAACGCAAGAAACCCATGGGGCTACCATGCCGATTTATTTTATTCTTCTGAACACTTGAATTTGCAGCTGCAAATTTTATTGCATACGTTTTATTGTTATAACCGTTGAATTATTAAACTTTCTTAGAATATTGTCGACTTGACCATTTCGATTTTGTACAAACTTCTGTAAATTATCTATTATTGTATTGTATAAATTGCAACTATTCTGCTGTGTGTTTTGTCGCTCTTCTAACTGTTTATATCGCTGATTATCACGAATTTCATCGATCTTGTTGTTAATTATTCTGATCACGATTTTCGAACTTTGCCAGTCTTATCGTTAGTGTAACGCTGTTTTATAATAATTTCTAATGATACTGCATTTAGCGAAAAATTAAGTATATTCATACTTAAAGCAACGTTTCTCGAGACAGCTCTTTTAAAGACATTCAACTTTTTTTTTATGAAGGATTTCAAGTACTGGAATTGATTTGTATGAAAGTAAATATTTTATAATGTCACTGTATATGATTGTATATTCGAAATGTTTACGAAGTTATTCGAGTGTTGTTATTCATTATTCAATCGTGTAACAGTACAAAGTTTTTGATCCGATATATTGTATAAAAGTGCTGTATTAAACATGTAAAGTTTCTTTCGTTTCCTAAATTTAATATTAAAAGAAAATTGGTACTCTTTCATTTCCTTTATTCCCTAAATTGACGAGTTTAATTTAAGCAATGTGTACATAAATTTATTTTAAACGCACAATGCTTATGTTGTCTACAGATTGCAAAATATCAGTGTGATTTGTAAAAGTTATAAATTTTTCTGTATTTATAATTTTTTTAATTAACTTTAACTAAAATATTGTCAATACAGTTTAAAGTTAAAATTTGTTTTTGTTGTAAAATCAAATTTATTCTTACTTTTATTTTGATTTATTCTGTTGGCACTTATAGCTAATGTTAAATAATAATGAACTCTATTTTGTAAATTTTTGTTTCAAAATATTTTACCATTTCGATTATGAATATTTTTTGAGTATTATTTATTTGAAATATGTATGGCTGGAGAAATTAACAGACTGTGGAAATTTATGCAAATATTCAAGAACTTTTAATCATTCATTTTTATGCAAATCAAATGAGATAATATTTTATTTTTACAAATTTCAATATTCTCTTACACAGGAAAGTTTGTAGAAATTAAAGTAGGAGTATTATGTCGAGGTTTTACGTCACAGAAGTTTTTCTGTACAGTATACGTCAGGAATGCATAAATATCCACAGTTTATTCAAGCAAAAGAAACGCTGCTTCAAGTAGTCGTTTACAATAACTGGTCAGACGCAGGTCTTAATACGTTCACTGTTCACTGTCAAGTTTTATAAAAAAAATTATAATGTTAGTCAAAAGATCTGACTGAGACTTTGTTAAGTTAATTAAAATGGTTTAGTTTGAATTATTTAAGTGTATGGATAACTTACATTTTAATTGAAATGCTGGATAAATAAATTCGAACAGTTTCACCATTTTATTCAGAATTTATTATGTAATTGAATTATTAATCTCTTGCATTGTTCACAACGTTATCATACAATTATTTTATTATTTAATTACAAGTGTGACTAAGTAAAGTTTAATTCTTTTTAATTTTATAAAAAATTATAATTCAACGATTACTGTCCCTTTGTATCACTTATATGTCTACCATTTTTTATAATCAATTTATAATTTATATAATAATAAAATTAATGAAGTGCACTGAAGTAGATAAAAATAGACAACAGTCAGATAAATATTTTTCTTTCGACCAGAACAATGAACGTATTAAAACAAACAAACCTCGCGATTCTAGTGTCTTATTCGCGACTCAACAACTTTCGTTTCGTCGGTAAATTAAAAAAATTCGATTTTTTATACAAGAGAACATCGCATACTTTGTAAGGAAGAATTGAAATCACACTTGACGAACATCAAAACCGAGAATCGTTGATTCACCGATTGTGTCTTGTATTAATTAGAAACATACCCACGGTTTTCTTAATATAGGATCCGACTTACAATTAGCTATAAGAAGGTTCAAGGTCGTCCACTGCGTTTCCACGAATTTCCACAAATATTCAATATAAACATTCACCTTAGCTCCGGACAACTTTGACGTTTAACGCGTTGGCTGTCACGACTGTAGCCGCCATGTTGGATTAAATAAACTCTCAAGTTTCACTCATTTCAAGCTGTGAAGTTTCACTCATTTCAGGCTGTGAAATTTCACTAATTTCAAGCTGTGAAATTTCACTAATTTCAAGGTTCAAACTTTTATTAAATTTCAAGCTTTTCATATTTTCAATTAATACCGTAATTTAGTATTTTATCTTTTTTCTCATTTAACTAAATTAAATTTTAACTGAGTTATATAGTTGGACTGTATTCATTCTTAACTAAATTTGATAGAGTTTAAGTAAATTCTTTCTCACGTAAAATTTATGCAATTGAAGTGTACTAATTTTTACCTAAAATTTATACAATTGAAGTGTATTAAATTTTACCTAAAATTTATACAATTGAAGTGTACTAATTTTTACCTAAAATTTATACAATTGAACTGTATTAATTTTTACCTAAAATTTATGTAATTTAAGTATATTAATTTTCTTTTAAAATTTATAAAGTTTAACTGCACTAACTTTCTCTTAAAGTTATTATAATTCAACTAAACTTATTTCTCACTGAAACATATATAATTTAACTGAATCCAGAAAACAGTTAAATCCTCCACATCCTTCAACTTCCTTCTAATAATTTATTTAATTTAATAAATAAACCCACATCAAATAATTTAGTACAAGTCTTTCGATTTCACTTACGTATCTTTCCAAAAATACAGCAAACAATTTAACATAAAATATCTAGAAAGTAAATACGAATGGTGGCAATATAACGAGAGTCTACTGTAGCTATATTAAATTTATGGTGCTGGTCACCGGAGACACCCCATCGTAATCAAAGTATTAAATTCGTACCAACATGTATCCTCGTGACAGCCGACGTGTTGAAGCATCGCGTTGTTTGTATTTTATAGTTTGAACAAGCGTGGTTCAGTGTTCACGAACAAACATATTGAGTGCCATTATAACGTTCGTTGATTTAAAGTGCTTACGCGAAGAGCAGAACATCAAAGAGGAAGTCGAAGAACAACTGTGAACTCGATTTTTCTGTCGTGCGGAGTGCTTGTTCTACCGGTTTAAGGGGTCGTTCTACTTACGTGGTATACATTCTTTCTTTTTCTTGAAAAAAAGTGTCAATAAAAAAATACATAAAAAAGAACGATTTTTTGAAAGTTTGTAAGTAGACTGATCCTTTAAATATAATATTGTAAATTTGAAGAAAAACGGTACAATGCGAAACAAGTGTACATTTGCAAAGATCTATATAATTGTTCGAAAGATGTGTATAGAATATTCGTATATGATAAGATGTTGGAGGAATTTAGGGTCTGAAAACGGTACGCACATTTTAGATAAATTCTTTATTCACAGTGTTGTATGTATAGGTTTTATTTAAATTTGATGGGTTGGAGGTTCAGTAGAATTATTTTCAATTGTTTACGATGTTGTGTGGAATTATAATTAATTGTTGCGCAGATAGATTGAACAAATTTCTTATTTAAAAGATTTCTAAATTTTACATTTTCAAATTTTAAGTTGGTAAATTTGTAAATTTGTACATTTTCTAAATTTCTGAGATTCTAAATTTCTACATTTCCAAATTTCTACATTTGTACATTTCTCAGTTTCTACATTTCTAAGTTTCTAAGCTCCTAAATCTCTAAATTTTCAAATTTGTAAATTTCTAAATTTTTACATTTCCAAATTTCTACATTTCTACATTTTTCACTTTCCAAATTTCCAAATTCAAAATCTGAACCAATTAAAAAATATCTAAACACCCAAACATCGAACATTACAAGAACCTCCAACCCCATCAAAGTATCAAAAGAAAACTTCGCTAAAAAACAGAAAAGCGTGAAAAAAAATCTCCCGAGTGAGTGCTTTCTTTCGCGTGTTGTGAGTACATTTTTTCACCGTACAGAAAAACTGGTGTATTACGCTGATATTTGTATGAATATTGAGAAACCGTGGTCGTGAACATCGAGAAACAAAGATTTCCAAAGATCGACTTGTCGATCGTGTAATTTCTCGAAGGAGAAGTATGAGCGATCGTAAGAGTCGATCGCGACAAGAATCGATGCATCGAGAACGCGTTAAAATTCTGAAGAAGTAGCAACGAAGAAGGAGAGATGAGGACATTATCGAACGAGCTTCGATGGCGACGCGAGAGAACCGCGAAATTTAACGACAGACCGCTCAAAAGCACAGATAATAAAATAGGAGGTTTAATACAATTGTAGAATGAAATGCGTCAATTATTTACCTGTCACCCTTCGAGCTGGTTTGAAGGACGTTGGTTTTATCGCTGTTTAGATGATGCAGTGTTTTACGTGCTAGGAGAATCATTTTATTGACGAGAAAGCCGGACATCGGTCGCTTTCCTTGACCGAACTTGTTCTTGTTTCATTCGAAGTTTTTCTAATTAATTTCTATCGTGTTTCAACAAATTTATCTCCTTTTGTTTACTTTGTTGTTGAGTATAAGATACAGTGTAAGTTTTTTTCTTTATGGTGAAAAGAATTTTTTCTTTCTGGGATTTTGAGAGACAATTACTTCTTTATTTTGTTTCTCATTTTCTTTTCTTTGAATTTATACTGATTGAATTTTTTTGTGCTATAATTTTTTAAAAATATAACTTGCTTCAATAGCTGTTTCAAGATAGCTTGAACTCATGTTTTTGAAATGCTGAATTAACTCAATTAAAAATTTCTTTTTGCAGAAATAAATGTGAAATTCAATATAAAACTAGTTCAAATAATTCTAAAAATTGAGCAGAAATGTAAAAATCATTTTGATGAATTGTGAGACAAGAAAATCTTCAACTAAATTTTGTTAAAAGTTGAACTTTAAAATTATTTTGAAATGAAAAAGTAAAAATTTTGGTAAGTTATATCTCTTCTTTAATAATCCTGTGTTGACGTTCTACATGAAGTTAATTTTTTGTGAAAATATGTAGAAAATATACCGATATTTTATTTTAGAGGTGTGTCATATTTTAAATGTGTGCGAATAAAATTCGATTTAAGAATGAACGTAATTAACAATTATTTCAAATAAAAATTGTAACCAATTACTTCAGGAAAAAATGCAATTTAAAATAGTTTTTGTTGTTGAAGCACATTTCTTTGTTTCTTAAGTATTAAAATAAGGCAAACTGTAAAATGCGTAACATAATATCGATGTAATAGCGTAGGATCGAATCACGAAAGTACAAAAGGGTCAGATGTAACCGTGTCCGTCTTTCTAGTGCCAAAAACTGGAAATCAATTGATTGAACTATTAAACCAATCTAGATTGTAATAAATGTCGTTAACAAAAACAGTATTTGTATTTTCTTTATTGACTTTATAGTACAAAATAATTTAAGATATCAAAATAGTGATTTTTATATATATATATAATAAAAGAAGTGTACAGTATACTTCTATTCTTACTTTTTACATATTCAACAAAATTTAATATATTAACTTTTACTTTTGGTAA